GTTACGATCGGTTTATTATAATTAATTTTCCACTATCAAATTATTATCTAGAATAGATAAGAAAAAAAAACTAATAGAAATTATTTAATGTACACCAAAGTAAAGTATTCAATAAGAAAGTTAAACGATCGAGAAACTAGTGCAAATTGCAACTAGTTATACTAGAACAAATACAGAAATGTAAAAATTCATAGTTCTATGATTCTTATATTCTATTGAAATAATTCTGTACTTGACACACATGGTAGCTTTAGATTAGCATACCAATCTGTTCGATAAACAGAGCCAAAGTATTTTTCAGCATCAACACCAATAAAAAAAAATCATTTGCAGTTTAGTTTCACCATGAATAATGAACAGTGTCTCAATAGTATATAAATGGTAATAGAAATCGAACCATTGTCAAATACTAAATCAATAAAGACAAAAACAAAAGAAACATATAGGAATCATTATCAAAAATAAATATACACTTACGAACAGCAATGATTACTACTTTAGATAGATATGTTGATTGATAAAGTAAATGATTTATACAGATTGGAACAGATGAGTCAATAAATAAAGGTTGTTGTATCACTTGTCGAAAGGAGAAAGCAGACGAAACTGAGGGATATGGTACATAATCACTATAATCAGCAACTCTCGGATTATCTATGTTTGTCGTTGCCATTACCTAACCAAATGTAGTATCTATTGAAGTTAATAATGATATTGATGATTCTAAATCTTTCCTATTATCCATCCTAATATCATCAATCATAGGATAAAAACAAAAACAATAATCAGTTTGACCATATGGATTTAATTTATATCTAGCTTCACGTTCGTTTACATTACAAAATAAAACTTCCATAGTTGAATGTAGTTGAACACCACGCAACGACAGTGTTCTCATAAAAAAAATAAAAAAAAAATACCACAACGAAGTAAAAAACAAAAATGTTAAAAGAAAAGAAAATTTTTCGATATGAAACTATATTTACGAACAATTTCTAAATAGAATTCTAAGGTTAGTGCCATTTGTTTTGAATTCAATGATGGTACTTTTGAAAACAACATCTATAACGACAAAAAAGGTATTAAATAATTGGATCCATCGTTTTTGTTTTATCGAGTTTGAAAATTGAAGTAGGAAAAAGAGAACCAATGAGAAATCTAGACAATAAACACACCATATATATGTTTCAACTATTTTGGCATCGTTCTTAAAAAGTGAAGAAGAAGAATGGCTACTTACGTAATTTATTTCATACAAATAGATCACCAAAGATGAAACCATCTCTAGTATATGTCGATATTAGTGGCAAAGTTAATGATAATAAATGAAGTTCTTCGGAAATTCATCGACGTTTCTAATCTAATTGATCATTATCATCATCATCATCATTACTATCATGTCTACAAATGGTTTGAATCCAATGATTTTTCCATATGTAGTTCTTTTCTTTCATTGACATTGAGAATTATATGAATGAGCTGCTCGATCAAACCAAATTGTACCAAAGCTTGATAGTATTGATACGGAATATATATATATCCTTCTCCCATAAAATTTTCTTATTGTCATCCTCACGTTTCGCGCTCCAATGGAACATCCAATCCTTCTGATGTTGGTAATGTTGTTTGTTTGAGATGAAATGATTTGTGAAATCTACAATATGAATGAAAAAAAAAACAAAAACAGATTATTCTCATAAGAAAGAAAATGTTTTGTTTTGTTTTGTTTTTGAACTCTATTTATTGATGAATTTATCATTTTCTAAATTTTTCTTTTCGCATGAATGTCATTGCTACAAGCTATTATACTTTAACGACAATTGTTTTCTTTGGATAGACTTTGCTTGAAAATAATTGACAGTTATTCTTTGAATTTTCGTTTGGCTCAGCCTGATGAAGAAGATGAATTTCGAATATTGAAAATTCTTTTCTATTTTCTTTTATGCAACAGCAAAATTCAAGTATAAAACACAATAAACCCATGAATAATAAGACCAGATAGATATATGTGATTGGTATTGTATTATTGATATTTTCATATAATTTTTCAAGGAATTCTACTGCATCATTCAGATATGTTGACATTGATGACGTTCCTGTTGTTGATGCTGTTGTTGATGCTGTTGTTGATAAGGGTATGGTATCCCCTCGAGGAAAAAAGTGACGTTGTTCTAGATGTGCAGGTGGTGGAAACATGTAAAATAAGTTCTTGTGCGACGGCGTGGACGATAATGATCTGGAAACGAACGAAAAAAAAACCGACGACATACAATATTATTTGAGATAAATGCAAACAAGAAGAAAAAAAAAAGAACATTGATTTAGTTTATTATATATTTTATTTTGTTTTAATTCTTCTAGATTTTCAACTGTTTTCAATACCATGTGCCCATTTAGTTATTGCTAAATATTGGGCAATACCATGTGGATGATCAGTTAAACGTTCATCAAACGTATATATAATTGCTTTTGATAAAGACCAACAACAGAACGGTGATTTATATGGACGATAAGCACATGAACATAGAGGAGCATCCATTTCATCATATTTCGAATATTGTTGACATGTTAAATGATGACTAAAAATATTATTATACCAAAGTTTAAATTGTTGTTGTATCTCAAAAAAAAAATTAACTTTACTCTTAACAACAATATTAAATAAATCATATTTTTGAATGAATTATAATTTTGATTACATATTTTCCCATGTATATATATCGTTTTAGATGAATGAAATAATATACGGAAAAAAAATATGGCAATGTCGAAAACTAATTGGTATTATAATCCGTATCATAAGAATAATCAATTGTAAATGTCAGAATACATGTTTCTTGGACGAATGCAAAATAGAACGATAATCGATTTCAATCAAACGATTCATTTGGACTAGACATTGTAAATAATTTTGTTCGTACAACTTGTTGAAGAAGTACATCTCAGATTTTTTGTTTCTGTGTTGATTCTATAGAACATATGATAACAGGTAAAAATGATGTAAATTGTGGTAAATTATTTCATTTTTGTTGAATAGTTTCTTGATTAAGAATTATTTTTTTTTTTTTGCTTTGTTTTTTTAACAATTTTCGATGTTTGTTTATCATTGGATGGGCTAGAAAAGACTATGATACACAATCACATAAGAATATATATACATGTAATTATAAAGAACAGCGCCATATAAATTTTCTTCATGTAGTATTGTAATAGTAGAATCCTATTCTCTTCATTGATGTCTATAGGTTGTTGATAATCACCATGAAAGCGATGTATGCTCAATAGTAAACCAAGTGAATGCTTCATTTTGTTCAATATTATCTAGAATCATAAATGAAAGAAAGATTCGAAGAATATTTTTGCTTTTTTTTTTTTCTAAATTTTGAAGTATAAGAAGATACGTGTATATATCTATATGGATGGAAGAAAAAAAAAGAGAAAGCAAATTCAAAAAGAACTAGTTCTACAGATGAAAGTGAAGTTAATGTCGGTTTTTAATAAAAAAGCATTCATACGAAATATATGTATATGCTTATCTTTTGGTTAACATTTCTTGTTGACTTTGTTGTCGAGTTCTTTGATTTAAATCAGGAAACATGCCATGTAACTCTAATGGGTCAGCTGAAATGTTTTCAATGTCTTTACGATGTCGTGATCGTCGTATTACTATCATTCCATAGCAATTAAGTAACAAAAGTACGATAATTAGAACCATACCCAAACCAAAAACTATCAGAATATTTCTTGATGGATAACCACCATGACATTGATTTTCAGCCATATTCAATGATTTTGTTGATGTTGGAATAATATCAGCTGTGGGTGCTCCTATTGCTGATGATGATAAGTAGTTTGGTTCAATCAAATAGTTCCCACTAATTTCATTAATACGACGTCTCACATATGCCATGGTAACACTATCAGTCACCCATACAGTTTCTGTTTGATTGCGGCTGATAGGTACTTCAAAATAGATCGGACTTAATTCATTAAAGAACATGTTAACACTTCTAAATCGTCGAATTAAAGCCATGAGAATGGATGCAATACGTTTAGAAAGATATCTAGAAGAAGAACAAACACAAAAGTTATTTAGTTATCTAAAAGAATGAGAATGTGATAACGAGATAAAAACTCAGAAAAAAACAAACATGAATTATGGATAAAAAGAGAGAAAAAAAGTTATTTTGTTTTTGTTTGTTTTCTTTTTTCTATCACATAGATCTGTTCTCTATTTGTATATGATTCAAGAAGATGTATAATTTTTGTTGTTTTCATTTGATTTTCTCTCATCATTGTTAATTGTAATTTTAATACTAAAAAACAAAATAGATTTTATAAGTAAAACACTTTTTTTTTTTTGCTTACAATCTCTCTTACTATGTTTCTGTTGATGAATATAAATATATTTTTTTGTATGATGAGATGCAGAATCATTGCTTTTCTAAAAACGAAATCCATATAAATTCATATGTCATATATATATATGATGAAAAAAAAAAAACATTTACTGGTTTATATTCTTGATTGTTTTCTAATGTTTCAAGTTGTTCATATTGTTTCAATTTCTGTAACATTGTATCATATTGATGTTGTTGTTCATTTCGTTCATATTGTTTCAATATTTCAATTTCTTGTAATTTTATTCTTCGTTCATCAACATCATCCATAGATGAATGATCATCATCTTGAGTCAATTCTAATTCTAGTGTTTGTTTCAATAAATTATATTGTTTTTGTTCTTGTTGTTCTAATTCGTGAAGTTGTCGTGCAAGATCATTTTCCATAATTTCATCAAAATTTAAACCTTGATATTGTTTTTGTTGTTGTTGTTGTTGTTGTTTTTCTTTTTGTAATTGATGCCATCGTGCTAACATTCCTTGAATTTGCTCACGATAAGATTTCACTGGTGACTGACCATTTGTCTTGATGGTTGGTGTA